TTTATTAATGATAACTATTTTGGGATTAGAGTTTTATATCATACCATGCATATATCTAGAGAGATTTACCAAAATACAAATAGAAATTGCTAATGTATTCTGTTTAAGATCTACGATAAATAGAAATCCGATTGTAATCTATAAATAGGATATTTTTTAATAAAGACAAGCCACAGCACTAGTGAAAGATTTTATTATATAAGCCAACCGATTGTACGATGTATTTAGTTTTCATAACAGTAGATGAAGGCAATAGCCTTTAAAAGGTCATCAGGCTGAGCTTATTAAGTCAATAGTTGCAACATAAAAACAAAGTATACTTTTCATATGGGATAACAATATGAAGTTTTATGTAGTTCCCTACAAGAAATATTTACTTATTGAGCGTCCTCTATTACGTTATTCTGCTTGCTAACATAGGATCCAGAATAATTATAATATGCGAAAGGCTATGCGTGCCTCAGCAATTACTAATCTTAAAAGATATAGTAAGAAAATAACAAGGGAATATATCAGGGTTCGCGCATTATGCAAAAACAAAACTAGATTAATGGATATTTTAAACCTTTCTTTTACAGACAATCTTGCCACTTGACCGTGAGCATAGCCAGAATCAATTTTGACTTGAGATATCGCGTGCCATCTTATTTATCCATTCTTGAGCAGTTAAATGTTTAAGATATATCGATATTAGGATATCTCTGTGATATTTCTATACAATTGTATGCGTATAAATAATTATAACATAAGCACACTTGCCGATAAGAAACATTTACTTATTGATGATTTTTCTCTACTACGTCATCTTTAACTGCTATCATTGACGCCACAATATCCTGTTATGTAAGTTTATGTGATAGTAATTACTGTATTTTTACAAAATAATGTGATTAGAGGTGGCTGGTAGGGTTATGCAGTTCATAGATCGTACAAATATAATTTTCGATTACTCATGAATTTAAATTCTTTCCACAGATGATCACCCTATTTATTTGCGGACTCAATGTCAATAAACTTGGGCTAAAAATATTTATAATAAAATTTTATTTCGAATTGTCATTTTGCTAATTATCTATTACTACCTGGGCATCAACACGTAACTGAAGACGTAAACCATTAATTAGCCGGATAATACTTATTATTACCCCTACTAGGTTATAGTCTATCCTCCTGATAAACTTTATGGTTCACAGATCGGGTATGCAGATGAACGCGGCTATCGAATTGCGTAAAATAAAATTATAACGTCAATTAATGCAAAACCCCTCGGCAAATACATTCTGCAATGTTTACGCCATGTGCCCTTATAAAGTAACGAACCCACATCGTACGTTTTATTTCACATATTTATATTAACTACAGCAGTCATTAGATTTTAAATTTCAGGAATTCACTTAAATTTTTGTAAATAAAATGTTATTAAACTTTGATGTGCATTCTGTGCACTGTTTCCAATTTACTATCGGTCAACAATATTTAGTTATTATCATTTTATGTGTCAAATCGATTACCATATATTGTGATTTACTTAACTTTCACATATAAGTACACACTATACTATCTATAATCATACCGTATGACCTTGCAAATAACCTGTGTTCTATATTTTAATTTATGTCTTTCTATATTAAAGTCATCATAAAATTTGATTTCTAGTTATTTGTTTACGATTTATTACCTAAGTAATAGCAGCTGGCTGCCATTACTCGAGTCGGAAGCTGCACAAGCCAAATTATGCTTGGGAAAACGGTATTTGTTTATATTATTAAAATGTGCTCTAATAATTATTTTACTGTTTCTATTCATTTATTTTTTAACCAGTTGACAATTTTCTACTTGTTTAGTTATAGACAAATTTTTAGTAAAAATAATTATTTATTCGTTAAAGAACGCCTGTCTATTTCAGTAGAGATAGTAATTCATTTATGACATTCTTTACTGTTGTTAGTATATCCTATTGAGTTATTCATTCTAATATTTGGAACTCTCTCTATGTTTTTCACAATAATAGTAAATAAATCAAAAGACAAAAATTGTGAAGGAATATAAGAAGAAAGAATAATACTAGAAAAAATCATCAAATTTTACCCAATATTATGGCTTGTTAATTAATAAAAAAAACACGGTTTGTTCTTATTCTAGCCATAAATCATTGTTTACTTTTAACAGCTACAATCAATGTAAGCTGAACCATTTTTTAAATTTTTACTTTTATTAGAAAGACTGTTCTTCGAGATAGTTATAATGAAATATCTAAATAATTCATCCATAGCACTCCGTATCCAATCTATAATCTCATATTCAAGCATTAAAAATAATGGCCATATTGCTAAATGACTTCGCCACTTATTCCGGTTAAGAGTTATTGATTTATGGTAGCCCAAATTCAATTATTTAATTGTGATTTATCTGATTAACATTGGCTGTTGATTACCCATCTTGTTGTACTACTATTTTAGCCTTAAATTCCATAAATTAAATATGTTAAACGGAATTTACCGTATATAATTTTAATTTGTTCCCAATGATCAACGATAATTAATTTTTAGTCAAAAAGTTTTAATTATTTTCTGTTTGTTAATGTTGTATCATAAAGTCAATATGCAATAGACGTATCCGTTTATTACGATATGTCTAGAGTATTTAATGATCTATCTAGATTGATCCAATCGTTTTTGATGCATTATAGTTTTCGACATCTGTTCACGCTACTTAACAGGGTTGAGTGTATTATATTTAAGAGCTGTTTCTAATTTAAGAATATTTTCAATTCATTCAATAATTCTGTGCTTGCATCCAGTTTTTAAATAGAGTTAAGGAAATGATGCATATCCGTTAGAGTTAAGAAATATACTTGATCATACTACTGTCAGATCTAATTTTACGCGTACGTAGTATTTATTATTGGTAAACATCTGTTCGCATTACGTAAAAACACAGTTTTTGTAATCAATCAAAAGAAATAAAAATACTTCAAATCGGAGTAAAAGCTATAATACCATTATAATATCTTGCTATCTAAGCTACCAATCTGTAAGAGCGTCATATTAACTATAAAAATAAATTTTTTTCATGGATTGATATCGCCTATTCAAATAAGAGCATATTTAAATTGATAGAAATGAAAAATTGGATTGTACTAATTAAGATTTGGTAGGGTTTTTTATTATTGAGCTGGAATTTAAGATAAAATAATGCTAATTTATATTGATTAATTAAAAAGTAACTAGCAGAATGTTTATTTATCAAGATATGGAAATCTATACATCTGAATAACAACGATAATATTTACGATTATTAGAGTTGTTTATTCCTTACAAGTATAACTTTACGGGAATGCAAAGGAACATAATGGATATTGTTGACGATAGAAATATTATCGATTATTTGGTGATATTAAATGCCATCGCCAAGAATTATAATCCAGAGGTAACGCATCGTTGATCCCATAATTTGTCAATTGACGAATTTTAGCGGTTACTTGATATTGATCATTGTAGTATGAAACAGTATCAAGATCTTATTTTCTGAAAACCTCCATGTGCGTATTGCGGAATTGTGTAATAATAGCTAATGAGATATAGCCATTCAGTAATTTTTCGCTTTACTCTGGTATCAAAAAATCCGATATTACAACCTCAGATTACGAAATATTTGTAATATGTAATAGATTTGAAAAATTTAACTTCAACCGTGCCTGAAGTGAATCTTATATATCATATGCACGTCATTAGATCCTTCGTGTAATTGTTGCAATCATCACCATATCCAGTCAAATATTACAATGTAAAAGTTAGATCTGGTCTGTCAAATTAAAAGGGACTCGATAGCTTTGGAAGTGACTAATTTGTTAACTCAACCACCAAATAGTCACTACACTATTCATATCCTCATACATGTATCATTACATACACCAAAAACGTTCACATATAAAAGTGTATTTTACAAACAGACCTTTGTATCTTTACTAAAGCTATGTAATTTATATTCTAATAATGAACTCAGTTCCCATAGGAAGGATTACTTATAAAGGAAAAATCATGTCGAGAATTAAACAGTTCCCATGTAGCTATTTACAATTCTATATTATAACTATTGACCCATACAAAGGAGCACATACGAAAATTACTGTTTATAAATTGCTACTCAGCTCTATAACGTTTCCCTTCGCACACTATACTAAACAATTCCTAAATAAATTGACGATATTGTAAATACTACTCGATAAGTTTGATATATAATGTGTGAATGACATTACGAAAATGCGAAAAGAATGATATTAAAAAGTTCTACAGATTTAATTCAATTACATAAATATATACGAATAGTATATATAGTTTAACAATTTAAAACAGACTCTATCAATACATATATATATATATTTGTATTAGGTATACCTACACACACTATATTCCATTCATTTGTAATTACTAAAATTACTAAAATAGTAATAATATTCTTAACGTATTTTTGAAATGAAACGAATTAGGAAATGCCAATAAAAGCTTTAAAAGAAGTATAAAAAAATCTATATCTCAATAACTGAATAGCCTTAAAACTAAAATTTCTATAAAGGAATACCTCAATCAAGTGCTGATTCACAGCTACTGCACATAATATATTAATTATCTGTTCATTTTGATGGAAAATAATGGGTGAGTTTCGAACCGTGATTGAGTATCATCATAAGCTCTTTAGCATATATATATAGCTCTGGTGCTTAGCTAGATTTTATGCCAATGAATGATTGAATTTACATTTAAGCGATAAAAATTAAATTCGCCGACATTATCGGGTCTAAGTGATGTAACGCTGTAAAGTCGACTTAAAAGTAAAATACAACAAATTTAATTTAAGTATTGTAACAATGTTTTATCAACAAACACACTTTAAACCAGGATCTTCCATACAGCCACTTACGACTATGTCATGTCATGAATACGGTATGTATATTACAGATTCATACCTCTTAAATAGAAGTTACCCGTATTTTGATGACATTACCGGGCTGATGATGGTACCAAATGCACCCATTTATTTTTATACGTAAAAGAAACTATTCCTTTATAAGCTGTCCTCGGTATACCAGCCTAGCGAAATAGCATTAAAATACATTGGAAAGAATTACTTGAGGACACTGAGTAATTAGTACAAGATCGCATATATTGATATCCAGTGAAAGGTCAGAATAGATTTTACAATGTAACGGCCAAACAATGACATTCTTATATGATACCGTCTTTCACTGTAGTAATAACGTTAGGAAAATTTGTCATAACGATACGATATAAATTATACTGTATATATCATAATTAATTTTGTGCCTCAGTGTACATATAATTTATGGCTATATAAACGAGTTTTGTTTAACTTAACCCTTGATAGTTCTATGGATGTTTAAACTACTTATACGAAGTACAGTACTTGGTCATGAAATATTGTTAGCTGTAAATGTAATTATTATACTCCTTACGCATATAACCGATACAACTCCCTAATTCATGGTAGGAAATCTTACTTTAAAGTCCGTCATTAGTCCCAACCGTCGGGCTATTCTCACGAAACTACCCTCAGTTTTGTATTTTATACGAACGATGTCATCTTTTGGTCCAGTCTCAGCTAGCAGTTGTGAGAATGTTATTACAGGAGAACTATTGACAGTTTCCAGAAATTCACTATTATAATTTTCCTAGACAACGATAAAGTTTATTAATTAAAATTGATAATATAAATATCAATGATTTCCGAAGAATTTCTAACCTTCTCAAGGTATGACAGATCTTTAGACATGAAGTCGACCTTGCCGGTGTTGATATTTATATGTTTCAGATATTTATCAAAAAACTGCCCCCTAATCATGATTAACCAATAGATTAGAATTTGCTACATTACGCGTAAGTTTACTTTTATGCTATGTACGACAGTTTTAGTAACATCGAAAGCACAGCTATCTTGGCGATTATATATTTGCTTATATACATGAATAGAATAGTTTAAAATTACTAACTGGCTAACTCCGATTCTCCCAAATGTTCGTGTTCTCGATATTTCCGGTCGAATACAAACTCTAACAATGAAGATTTAGAAAAAAGCATTAGTAAGCATTATGATGAATATTTGGCAGTAACCTGTTATTACAAGGTTGTACTAAATCATATTAATAAAATAAATATAATTTATAGTCGCTAAAATTTGAATGGTATATTACCGGTTCTGGCGTCGTGCTGGCTCCCTCATCCAATCGTCCCAGTACCTAAAAAAGAGATATAGAAACATCGATATGTCAAGAACATTTACTACTTTTAAAAATACAAAAGTAGCCTTTGATAACCATACAATTGAGCAATCTATTATGAATCATATTATTTCACTTATGTATACGTATTTATGCGTACGCTGGCGGCCATTTTGGGCCTATTTCTTGCCATAGATTTTTAGTTAGCATCCATCCTAGACCAGGGAAAAAGTCGCTGCGGTACAAGCGCTCTAGGATAAGATAACAGATTTCCGTTACACCGGGGTAGTAAAGTACAGTAACAGGCAACAACCACATCATACTGTAAACATTAATTACAATGTGCAATTAATAACGGAATAATTCCCACCCGTACCTGGACTCATCGTCAGTTCCTTTCGGCCGTTATCATTCCAGGCAGACACGCACCATATCGATTTATCTTTTTCCATAAGGTGTCTTGTAGCTTGAAAATATGAGAAAAAGTCGGCTGCTACATCCAGATCATCTGTTATGTTAAATTTAATAAATTTTAGCGTATATTTGAAATAAAGGTAAAAGATATCGAAACGTTCAAATTAAAATTACTGCAAAAGTCTCCATGTCTATTTTTGTGCAAATGCGTAATGTAGGTATACAGATATATACCTTCGACAATTATTACAGTTTCATAATTAAGAACATTAAATACTTGATCCAACGCCCATTTGTAGTGCCTAGCTATCTTATGATAACCAGATAGTCCTCCTGCTGGGGAAGGATTAAACTAGAATATGCAAGTAAATGCATCAATTTATTTTGATAGATGTAGAATTATGAAAGTGATCATAATGTCTTCTACAGATTTCTAGCTATTAATATTAGCATGAATAATTGATGAAAACCTGTAGATATTTTATACGGTCCCCGTAACCGTTTAGAACCTCCGCAGTTTTTTGATCGCCACAATCCTATAAGAGAAGATGTATAAAGTTGTTTATTGCGTTTATGAAACAATATAGTCTTTGATTCTTTGACTTTTCAATATATATAATTGTGTAACTTATAAAGGATATTTAAATAACACTATTAAGGATAGTATCTTTGCATGTGACTTCGCGAACCTGGCTGACGATTATGGGATAATAAGTTGTAGAAGGTCGATTCCTAATATGATATGGCAAAGTCATTAATTAGAATTCGGGATAAAAGGGTCACTTCATCTAGATAAGCTATGCTAGGTAGGTACCAATGATTAATTTTTGTCGTTGTAATTACTACCAGATAATTATACACAGTATAAGTCCGTCTTACAATAGGACGTGAGGATGATGTTGTAAAATTAGTCTAGCTTGGCAACTATTTAGAGATGTTACAAAATAGACTAATCTAATCGTCCTACACTAAGCAATATCTATATTCTGTATCAATTAAGGACAACATCATTAATTAAAGCATATCATCCAAACATGGCTAACATAGATATGGTTTACAAAGCTTACGAAACTGTTATATTCTTCATAGATCAACTGTAGATAAACGTCGTTATGTAATTTTATGCTGAATACTGATTAATACCATAAAATGGTAGAAAATCATCTGATAACACTATCAGGAATATCCCAATCATTAATGTATATGTGCAGATATAATTTCGATGATCAATAATTAAAAAAATTCAATCTCGAGTATACATTTTCAAGCAGAAGGGTACAAAATTAGTGGTGCTTTCTATAATGATATTATTGACATGAATATCTGTCACTCGTTATTAGACTAACAACGAGATAGTGATTTAAGTAGAACGAGGTCGTTCTTACCTGAAGAGTAAATCAACACATCGTTTAACAGATGGGCGATTACATGCGATGACGAGTACAGCAATAGTATAGTTCTTAATAGTTTGTTTTTTTTCTTTGGGAAAGTGATCCACTGGTGCTATAAATGATAAAATTAGGTCATTTATGTTCTATTGACTGTAAAACCACTCAATTCAATATATCTACTAAATTAAGTCATATTGCTAATAATCATATACTGGAATACTGCATCTATGATATACACTTCTATGCAGTATTTATGCGTGTTCAATAAGTCTTACTTGGTTGAGGTGATTCTTTAACTGAGCCTTTTGGTGATAATTTTGGATGGTTGACTTGATCCGTTAGTGAACCTGTGTCTTGATACTGATTGACCTACATAAGATAAGAAGAATATGGCACTACAACTCTCGATAGCAATGATTACATACTTTTATTTCCCATCACTACTATTGCCCGCTCATCCGCTGGTGACAATATCAGCACTAATCCATTCTACTAAGTTTTATAAAGCTCATGCATAATATTATAGTATCTTAAGTAACATTCTACTTGTATAATCCTTGAAACAATTATCAATGCTATTAGTTGCCTTATTATCATTGAACTTACATTAGTGTTAGGATTATCTAGCATACTCCGCAAAAGGTACAAGTTACCAACAACAAAGACAGTGACGGCCACTGCCAATAATAGCCTGCTCTTCATATTCTAAGATAGCAGAAAGAGATCGATAATACATCAAAGAAAGTGCAAACTTATCAATCTCGTTACGATTGTATAGTAGAATAGTAATTATGATGTCCACATACATAGGTATTAACCTGCCCTTGCTATTATTCTATGATAGGAAAGTATAAACCTATCAATCTCGTTCTAATTCTATAGTAGAAGAGTAAATGATGATATCTATAAAGATCAATCTGCTCTTGCTATTCTATGACGGATAAGTGTAAACCTATCAATCTCGTTATAATTGTATAATAGAACAGCAAACTACAGTGTGATTTTTGTTTATATCAATGTACTTTTCCTATTCTAGGATGAGAGAAAAAGATTGACAAATGAATGTAAGAAAGTGTAAACACTACACCTATTACATATCTCGTTACGCAAATAGCAAATCATGATATTTGTTCACGTTAACCTGCTCTTCCTATCCTATGATGGGAGAAAGAGATTGACCATGTATCAAAGAAAGTGTAGAAGTATCCTTATAATTGTATAGTAACAAATCATGATACTTGTTCACAACAACTGAATTAGTTCCATTATCTCCATTAATAGGACTGTGTACTGTGGGTGTTGCAGTCAATCCAAGACTATCACATTGACACTTTTAGACTTTCTAATAGATTACACCATTCATCCTATTTCTATATTTAGTACCCAAGCTCACCTCTTCTTTGCCAATCGCTATCCAACAGATAAAATCAATACGCCATTTCTTGTCCTGGTAGCAATCAGTGGAAATCAATGGCCATGTTCTGGCAGTTTGGGTCTGCTGCAGTCTAGCGCATCGACAAGCTGACGTGATGTCCTGTACAGTGTACAGTACTTTTCACTCCCTTTGGCAAGAAAGTCTTGAACTGTAGAACGGGCAGTACAGTACATTCAATCATGAACCCATTCATCACCTAGTACGCTATACTGTACTATACACTAGTATACAGTACATTGTACAAAAGCATACAGTATTGTGGCGTTCTCTACCATGCCTACCCCTAGCATAAATAATGTCACGGATCCCTGCCTACAGTACACCGAGTAAAGTACAGTACTGTACTATACAATATAAACTATCTCAGACTAGGATCGACTACAGTATTAAGTACTCTGTTACAGTACCTGCTCCCTAGGAAAAGGGTGACATCATTTTTTCTACAAACTACAGTACAGTATACAGACAGCACTGTGCAGCGTACTGTACTGTACTGTATGCTGACGTGGTCAAGCCCCCTAGACGGACAAGCCATCAAGAAGTGAAAAGTAATAATGAATCCGAGCTTATTTGAGATCGAGGCAACTAATTCTATTCGTAACTAATTCATTATATATAAAATAGTGTAGAACGGGCTGTACAGTACTGTACAGTACATTCAATCATGAATCCATTCATCACCTAGCACGCTATACTGTACTGTATACTAGTATACTGAACATTGGACAGAAGCATATTGTGGCGTTCTCTACCATGCCTACCCCTGGCACAAATAATGTCACGGATCCCTGCCTACAGTACACTGAGTATAGTACAGTACTGTACAATATACAGTAAACTATCTCAGACTAGGATCGACTACAGTACTTAGTACTCTGTTACAGTACCTGCTCCCTAGGAAAAGGGTGACATCATTTTTTTTTCTACAAACTACAGTATACAGACAGCACTGTGCAGCGTACTATACTGTACTGTACTGTATGCTGACGTGGTCAAGCCCCTAGACGGACAAGCCATCAAGAAGTGAAAAGTAATAATGAATCCCGAGCTTATTTGAGATCGAGGCAACTAATTCTATTTGTAACTAATTCATTATATATAAAATAGTGTAGAACGGGCAGTACAGTACTGTACAGTACATTCAATCATGAATCCATTCATCACCTAGCACGCTACAGTATACTGTACTGTACTGTATACCGTACAGTACTAGTACTGTATACAGTACAGTACAGTACATTGTACAAAGCATATTGTGGCGTTCTCTACCATGCCCACCCCTAGCATAAATAATGTCACGGATCCCTGCCTACAGTACACTGAGTATAGTACAGTACTGTACAATATACAGTACAGTAAACTATCTCAGACTAGGATCGATTACAGTACTTAGTACTCTGTTACAGTACCTGCTCCCTAGGAAAAGGGTGACATCATTTTTGTTTTCTACAAACTACAGTATACAGCACTGTGCAGCGTACTGTACTGTATGCTGACGTGGTCAAGCCCCTAGACGGACAAGCCATCAAGAAGTGAAAAGTAATAATGAATCCGAGCTTGTTTGAGATCGAGGCAACTAATTCTATTTGTAACTAATTCATTATATATATATTATGAATAGAATTTACTGGAAGCAAGAAATTTTCTCAATTTGAAGTACAGCAACATATAGAATAACAATTTTAAATAAGTTCATTGGTAATAAATCGAGAGAGAACGAATACTCTAGGTCTATCGAGCTAATGTAGCTAAAACAAGATTATGCCTGATCTTGCTATGATTGCCACTCGCCACTACAGTAGCGATGGAGGCAGCCGGTTTGACCAGCAGTCCCCGATAAATAGTGTTACTTTACTACGTAGATAGTCGCCAATCTCTCGATGATAGTATCTACGGATGTTATCAATAGGATTAGGCTACTGCCACAGTCAGAAATTTGAAAAGTCTACCAGTATGCTAGGAGTCTATGGCACTCAATCTGGTACTGGTAATTACTCCACAATGTACATATACTGTGGATCCATCGGGATACAGGACGAGTATTAGTTTGGCCATGAATAAATCCGAGTTCATTTTTCTTTCTTTATTCCTACATAGTGTGTGTGTATGTACAGCAGTGTTGATATCCATTATTTTATCTAGAAATACAGTAATCTACAAGAACTATACGCTAATATACTCATCGAAGTTGAAACGATCTCATCTACTGCACGGTATAGCCAGTTAAACGGCATACAAAGTAGGAATGTAATTGAAATGACGTGATAAAATACTAAGCGTATATGCAAGACCATGGATTATACTGGTCATTTAGTAATCCATGGCTTGCGTAGCCAGTACCAGCATGCGATAAATGTTTCTACAGCCTAAAACAAAGTAAATTCAGTTTTCTTTCTATTTACTGTAGTAATATCGTTTTTTATTCAGTATTGGGCAATAAATAATCAATACCATATCGCACAATCTTTTGCAAGACCCATGATTGCAAATTTGCAATCAGACTTTACGCTCATAAATGTACGCAATGTTTGCATATACACTCCAGCTGTACAGTGCTAAAAGGCGATATAGAATGTCGAAATAGCCAGTTTTGTACTTTCCAAGGTAAAATATCAGCCTTTTACGTCTATTCCAAGAAATGCATCAGAAGTCCATCCCTTGAGCAAGTTAATGTTATACCATTACAACTATCAAAAAATTATTTCGACATCAACACACAGTTTCAAAGTTATCAAAATTAGCCGTCCACCATGAGATACAAAGCTTTCCAATTGTTTCAACATAGAGATTTAAGAAAAATATTTACATCTGTAGTGACAATATATGATTTTCCGTTACAGCGTAAGGCTACGTGGTCAGTACATATCTTAGATTGCAAGTATCCTTCAACTGACACTGCACGGTATTCAAAGTAAATTTACGAATTTGAATCCTGCATTTCGACGAATAGTTATTACTAGTTTATGTATTACTAGATACGAATTTAGAAAATCCCTAGTAAGTTTCTTATTTTTTAGCAAACTACCAGACCGCATTGAGTAAAATATAAATAGTGTTCACAGGCTCCTTCCATTTACAATTAAATTTGTTACTACTGTCTACTTTACCAACTAATGTAAGTAACACATCCTAATAATGCTATACTCCTACTTTCGTGGCATTATTATAGTATTTAGATAGAGTTTTACAATTCCTTTACATTTAAAGATATTAATAATGCCTCATAAATTTTAAAGGAGGAAAGTGGCACTCCTGCTAAAGCTCATAGAAATATAGAGATTACATTCATTTAATGTTTCATGAGTGTGTTCTGCTGCGTTACGGTATCACACAAAAAATCAATGAGTTAAAATCCTCAGTTGTACTGTACGTAGGGAGTTTTATAAGCGGAATTGAACTCCCTTTAGCCAGAAGAACCTTTATCCACGATTGCTTAGGTGATTTAGTATTCGCAACAACTCGATGAACAGATTAATAATGTCGAGGTATAAATTAATCGCTGCGATAATGTAATCTTCTGGAGACAACCTCTTTAGGATCAACTGAGTATCAAATATAATAAATGCACAAAATAGCAAGGCCCCACCAATGGCCAGAACCATATCAGCGGCCTCACTCTTAAAAAATAGCTATAAAAATGGAGAGATAATTATGAAGTTGTATTACGAAGAAGAATTTTAATAGCTCCGTAATCATCTTAATGTATCAGCTATATACCTGTAAAAATCCAGCTACGATTAACATCCAGAGAATTGATATCAATCTACCGTATTTTTGGAAAAGAGTAAATATGTTTATATCACTTTCAAAATGCAAAATAGTTTAAGGGGCTGATCATCTTAGTGAGTGTTGGAAATTATTGAACTCTAATTTCGAAACGCAAGTAAATTGTAAGATCAAACGTAATTAGTTCTTACCCTGCTCCCCAGGCACTAAAGTCATATTTCGATTGAAAAGTAAATGCCGTTAGGGCTGTAGTGATGGCAAGTGTTAAGAAGAATGCTTCTAAGACTATAACGGAGTCATATATGGTAACTTTATGGGATTTGATGAATCCAAGTCGGTCATAATGCCAATATAGAATATAAAGCATCAACAATTTAATTTTAGAACGAAAGTAACAATCAAAGTTGTCAACTTTTCAAAGAATCCATCGAGAATTTTCAATGTAACCAAATTAATGACGAAATTGATAGACGATTATGAGATTGTACTTTACATAAATAACCTTACCTACGTTTGCCAGTGTCACAGCTTCAAAGAAAGTCTAAATAAACAGGTTGTAGATGTTATGTTAATTTAATAATGAATCAAAAGCTAGTACAATTATAATCAGTTTTAACATTATAATAATTGTTTAACAATATTCTCATCTCTAATGATCATACATGATACATGATCATCGATTCTACACGCAGTAAAGTACAGATAAATGAATGCACAATTTTACGTCAACAAATTTTTAGAAATCTATCTATGTTATTCATGTAAACCTATCATTCATTATGACTCTGCTCAGATACTAGTTTACTAGTTCGACAAGTAATATGACAGATTTATATCATGGAGATTAAGATACAGTATAGACTGAAATGAATAAAAGCATATTCCATCATGAAAATGCAAAGCTGTTGCTAACTGTATGATGATTTAAACAAGAATATACTAAACTTACAAATGCCATCAGTAAGTACATATTTGTTGGGGCCTCTCTTTGTTTCATCATCAAGGCAACCAAAGTGACAATGGTTAAAGCCATGCAAATAAACACTATTGCGTGGCTAACAAAGTTAGAAATACATATATTGCGTTTAGTACCACATATATGATGTGATGTTGAACACTATGAAGTTAACTTATATCGAATGAAAGTGATAGCGCTCGCAATTCTACAGTCTTTCTGCTGCAAGTTATTATTTTAATGCGTAAAATGAGTGCAACATTGGCAAAGTATGCCACCTTGAGAATTTCATCAAAAGCTTAAACCTAGCTACGATCTATTTTATGACCATTACTTTCTTGTATAAAAATTACGATAACAAACCTGGTTTGAATGAAGGCTTTAAGGGTTGGCACGAACATGAATAATGCACACGTAGCAGTGGTTAATAGTAACTGAGTACAAACGATGCCATAAACTTTGCGCAGGAAAGCTGTAGTAGTATCCAAAACGAAAAACCAATCGATTTTATAATTAAGTGATTGTACAACGATTGTTGATTAGATTTATCACAGACGAGACATAATCACAAAGACATGACTAAAAGGTGTACAAATTGATGAATCATCATCACTGCATGCTTGTACAGTAGCAAATTTCATCACAGTAAAGGGCTGTGCTACCATGCTAGTCGTCTTATTCAAATTATATATTACTAAGTTACTAAATTAATTACATAAAGTTCAGTCTACCGCAATACGGACAAGTAGTAAGTAGACTATCAACCAAAGCATTCATCGACTACCGTAATGAACAATTGAAAACTTGATACCTTTATTTAAAAGAATGTAATAAAACTAAAAGAGAACGTAAAATAGTTAACTATCTCAACGGTTGGTATTTTCATTTACTCCATACTGTACAGTGTACACCACCAAGTAGTGGATATTAGTACTAAACGAAGAAAGTAAACAAAACTAAGCCATTTGGGTTGCCTCTCCTTCATGCTAGAATTGCCATAGAGAACGCTTACAACAGAATCGATGTCTACTTCCGAGATTATAGTAAACTATTACTAGCCTATATAGGAAAGACTAGATTACGCCTGTCTTGTCTACAATTCTACATGCATCAATCAGTAAGGAGTACCAGCATCATCAAAAATCAAGGATTAAGTTCCTATATATGCAACCTACAAAAGAGCATTACCGAGTCGAATACTTTTTTCGGCTTGTGCTACGTTAACGCCATAATTAAAATCATCATGATAGAACGTTTTTGTTGCAGTAGGAGGAGCTGTTGCCATATTTTTTCCATCACTATCAGATGATGCCATTACGTACTGGATATGCACAAATAATCCTGAAATAAAGTAATTTCGATTATAGCAGTCGTCACATCTGGCAATCAGTCGTGTAAAACATGCTTTATATGCGTACTTGTATGATTATAATGACTGGTCCATTACCCGTTCAAATTTTGAACAGGGACACAATCTCCATAAAGCCATAAAATTCAAAGATAATTGACAGCTAGATTATCTTAATATTGCTTGTTTTACTTCGCAAAACTACAGTATGCTTGAGTACTTTTTACTTTACTATACATTATATCACTGACAGACAAATTTTACAATCATCACGGAATTACCTTGAAGATTTCAATACTACAGTATACTACAATTTTATAGCAGTAAAAGACTTTCAGTTCGATCCAAATGGACTTTTCAAGTTTTCTTCGTTGATCCTTGACTAATAGCCGAGATAAATAGAAGGGAAATAAAACAGATCACCGAGTAATCAGGGACGAAACGCGATTGAAAAAATGGCGATGCCTTCCGATAGGTAAATAAACAGCAATGTATGCGCTGAGGGCACAACCCGAACCTCGATATGGCAGTCCAACAAGAAGACGATAGAAGAGCCTATAGAGATCTGTGTATGGTATTGAACTGTATCCGGTACAGTAGACTAGGACACTACCTACGTCTGTTGTTAACACCGTAGCAATGACGTAATCTTCCTTATGCAAGATGGAGAAAATTCGTTTCTTGTCTCACCAACTCATAACAGACTAGTTTTAATTATAATGGAAAGTATATATAGAATTCAAGTGGATTTATAGATTGGCTTACTGCTCTATTAAGCTGCTAGAAAAGGATTCCAGCACTGGTTGTATACGTATCCTATAGACACATGCATCGCTAGCTACTGAGCGCTGTGTAGGAAATTCTACGGACTACTTTCATTTAGCCAAACTTGGAGGAGTCCGTGGAACCCCTAAAAAAACTCGAATTTCTCGATAGGCAAACTTGCATAGTAATTTCATCAATATCCCATCACCTCAGTTGGCTGTAAATTAAGCAAGAGTGAAAGCAATAAAATGATGCAGGGGAATAGAGGTCAAATATTGCCAAGGTGCATATCCAAAATGTACTATGAGACATCGTCAGTGTTCAAAATTGACACATTAATAACAGTACATGTACGCGAAATATCACCAGCAGGATATTCTGTTAGTAGAGTATATGCTTGGGGTATTTCGCTAATTCTACTTGTACTTTACATTATGTTATACTCCATTACACATTTTACGTAGTCTCTATTGGCTGTTTTGCATAACGAATACATTTTATTTTATATTCAACGATATACGAAATAACAACATAAACGAATTTAGTAGCAGTTTCATCTTTTTGATAAAAGGCATTCAATATATACAGTACGTTAAATTTTTCATTAAACTACATGCTTACGGCATATATTGCGTAGTATCAATTTGTTGATTGGGATGTAGATCTTATTTAATATTAGAGATAGGCAAATTCAGACTTGAAACATTCTGATGCATATTCATCTACCATCTAAGCGAACTTATAAGCAACGCTATTGCATCTAATAAAGTATACGCTATATAACAGCAGTAGTTTAACGATAGAAATTACTATCTTATATTAATGCCCTATCCAATGGATGTAAAATAACCCATCAAACCTATTCAGATATTTTCCGTTCTGTAGTAACTTTCCAAACTATAGCCAAAAATTGGGTTGTCAACTTCACCATTATGACAATTACTATATTCATTTATTACAGAAGATAGATTCGTAATGCCGGAATATATCTACACTAATAATTTAGTAGTAAAGCTAAATTCAAAATAAGTATGCTATAATTTCCGTAATTTCATTTACCGAATGATATTTTGAGCGCTATTTAATAAAATATGGTCAATCCAATGTTACGACAATATATTAAGGTAAATGGCACAAATGCAAACATCAAATGAATAGATCAAAAGGTCGCGTAGTTTCACTATAATACAGTAGTTGCTGACTTTTAAAAGTATAGGAACTGCTACTATTCCAAGATTCAACGTAAGCGACTTCAATTTAGTTCTAGGGTTCTGATCTATGTTCGTAACTTGGTATCATTTTTACAAAAGCTATTTTATAAGCAATAGTCAACGCATGCTATTATTATTTCCACGTCCAAATCTATCAAGGCGGATTAATTAAATCATTTAAAAAGCAATTCAACTTATTTTGACAAGAAATACTTTCATTTTAAGCTACAGAAAATGTCCATAGCGATCTTTAAGATTGTAAATATGTACGTACATTAAGTTACAGAATTTGGCAGCAATTTTTTTTCTTCGGCCATAGCTTTCGTCGAATTAAAACGAGTTTCGTCGCTTCTTCGAAAATTTCCTTTAGGCCATGACGATTAAAGGAAGAACATTCAAAATATCGAATAGCACCAATAGCTCTAGCTAATTTTAGACCTGTACTGCGATAGATGGGCCTGCTGTTTATTTTTTTCAATTCCTTGAGTACGTTGATATCTTCTCGGAGATCTGTTTTTGTGCCAACTAATATTTTAGGGGTATTAGGTGAATAGCGCCTAACTTCTGAATACCATACATCGCGCACATTGTCAAAAGAATGAGGATTTACCGTAGAAAAACAAATTATAAACAAATCAGCTTGATCGTAAGAAATCGCTCTCAGCTTACTATATTCAGCTTGTCCAGCGGTATCCCATAAACCAAGGCTAATAACTTTGTCATTAATCATGAGATTCTTTGAAAAATTATCAAATACGGTAGGAATATATTCACCAGGGAAATTATCTGTCGAATAAGTCATTAATAAACATGTCTTTCCTACCTCACCATCGCCAACAATAACACACTTTACTGATTCCATTTTGTGGACGAGATATTTGCTTGCAATAAGTGAAATGTACTGTTGATCGGTATTTGAGCCTGCCTCAATCTACTTTAATGCAACTGCAATATTAAGCTTGTTTAATGTTAATTTAGTTTCTTGAAAAAATGTACCAGCGACTATTTCAATTGTCCAATACCGTATATTTTTCGTGAATTAGTATTGAAATTTCCAAGAATCATGTATAAATCCTATTTTTCAATTAGCAGCTCTCATCATATCAATCGACTAATTGATTTAAGTGAAATATGGTCCTATACTAGGATTCTTTTTTGCGCTCGAGCTAAGCCAACGAAGGAGGTAAATACGAGCAGCTTTTTAAATTTTCACGTTGGACGTCAAATATTAATCACCGACTTTTTATAGGGGCTTACACTTGGGCTGGAATGATGTATTTTTCGATTTCAATTGAGAATACACCTGTGGATCTTACAAGTGTTATAAGAAACTGACAAACAGCGTTCATGAAGGCTCTTGGCTACCAGTTATGATACCATATGCAATAGCCAAAGGCAATAAATGCGTATTACTACGACTAAAGTTACTACAGTATGAGTGATCTACCACCAAATCAGATAGTAAACAGAGCGCAGCCTATAATTTTAATTAAGATCTTTGAGAAGTTTTGAATAGTTTCGACTAATAATATTACAGGGTGTACAATGCATTAAAGTGTGCAATGTAATTAATCAATTATATTCACTATTTATCTGTTTTTTCCATTATTCTATTCCTCTACTAGCTTACAAGTATGTAAACATTCCTGATTAATTACAGCTTCAATGACGTATCGAGATGGATACCAAAGTTATTTTGACGTAGTCTAGAAGATAATTACCTTACCTTATCATCGAAATTCGATAACAATTTGGTTAGACCAAAATAACTCAATTATCGTGTAGTACTACTGGACAGCATACGATTATGTCAACACTACTACGACGTAGAATCGCTGGATTGAACAAGGTTGATTGTCCTCTCTTGTTGTTATTTTCGACATCAAGCAGTATCGCAAAAATAGACTAACAAGGTGCAATACAACTTAACGAAAGTAGCAATCCCCCTTCTAAACCATCTGCTAGCAATGTCCAGTAGAAACATTTTTCATCTAATTTGATCTTATTGCATAGATTAGGCAATAACTTCAATTCAGATTCGATAGATGATATTCTATTAGATTACATAAAGGAGAAATATTGAATTTTTAAGCTTCGAGCTACTTACGAACACCTAGACAATACTGCACCTTCAACATCAATTATGATTCTAGTACAGCATACTTTAATGAAATTAAGACAATAATGATTCATCTTGGCTACCAAAGAATGAATTAATTATTAAATAGTTTGACTCCTACATTATCTTTTGGTATGATATCGTTTTATCGGTTGATAGATTTGCAATATTTACCAAGGTTAGTATGCATTGTATGCAAACTATGCACACACTATGCTGACGTCTGCATATCGATCACAGTTTCAAGCAAAAATTGATCTAGGAAAGGTCAAGAGCCCTCCCATTCAACGTTAGTTTATCAATGCCAATTATAATGCTTATTTTTATATCGATTTTCAAGTTAATGCTATAGCCTATAGGTACTAGGTACTGTACAGTATTTTCAACATGCTCTTATTTTACTTTTGGAGCTGCTTAAATCAGCATAAAACGCCTATTGCTTTTTACCTGGATATGCAGATCCGTAGGTTACAACGGTGAAAATGGCATGTACCTAGTGGAGCAGCTCCAATATCTGGAATTAAGGTTAACGTTTTGTACAATCTCATTAGGAAGAAAACTGCTGGAATTATTCGATAAGGGCGCGGTAGAATGTATATTAATTTAATTGAACGATAATATTTGCGAATACCGTCTACACTACTGTGCTTAGCACGTTGTTTTCTTACCTCTCTACGTTTTAAACTGCGGTACCAATACAGTAGACAGTAGCGCACTTTCGAAGGTAGCTAGAGCTGTTTACGAATCTGATAACAGACTGCTTGCATCGTATTTGTGCTCTCCAAGTGTAAATGTAATGGCATGTATTTACGTCTGAAAAAAGAGAAAATTGAGGAGTTTTCCGTAGCTAAAGCATACTTTGGATGCAATCAAGGGCTATTTAATAGACACAGTACTGTACACTGTACAGTAGGTATTGCAATCCCCATAGACTGGCTTGCATCTACGCATTGCATTGCACTGGCGCATCGAATCCTAAAATGGATTTGTCTAAAGCATGCTTTTGGTGTTGTTAATGGGCTGGCTTGTATCTACCCATTGCATTGGCGCATCGAATCCTAAAATGGATTCGTCTTAAGCATGCTTTTGGCGTTGTTAATGGACTGGCTTGTGTCCTACGTTTGTTGCATCGAATATTCCAATTGGCGCCTCCAACGGCCCTAAAAATTTTGATTGGTGTAAAGCATATTTTTGGTGCTGACTGATTTAAAGAAAACATACTTTTAGCGCAATCAATGCACACTTGCTTAACCCATGAACTAACTTGACATTTGCCCCTCAAACGCTCATTGCATATGGCATACTGTAAAAAAAAGGAAATGATTATTCAGCATTCAGTAAGTGCATTTGGCGCAGTCATGGATCGACCACTAGAACACCTAGTGTTGAACAAGTAGTGAGTCATGTCGGAGTCTAATAGACTCGTACTCATACTGGACGGCAAGCTGCAGGTGTTGCTGTTTTTAGTGCTCTAGACTAGCGATGCGAAACGAACGCATGAGAATATTTGGTGAGAGCTTTCGCCTTAGCCATGATAAGACTCAGAAATAAATTCAGCGTTAATATAATAGAAATGTATGGACAGCTCTTTGTTAGGTGAATATTTGCAATTGAAGTAGGTGATTTGGCTATTTTAAGGATTTTATCAATAATGGAATCGTTATAATACGATGCTCTGGAGTCATAATTTTCCTTGAATTGTATGTTACAACTTAACACCATTCTTAACCATCAAGCATAATCTAATTATTCTAATTATTATACTGCAAGAATGCTGAAAAAATACGGAATCAATTATTCCATCTAGGTAGAAGGTATGCTGAATGATTGTACCTCAATACACTAATTTGATTACGCCCATAATTTGGAGGAGTTGATAATGACATCAAAAGTGAAGGGAAGATATTTATTGTATTTCCTGTCAGCTACGTCTTACAAATTGGAAAACAAGATTTCCTACCATCTCCGTATAAGCAGAGTGCAAAGCGTAAAATTGTAATGAACGTTGCTAATCTTTAATCTTTAATACTGTATGTTGCACTATGCGCTCTTTGATCAACGGTCAATATCATTTTTAGCATAGTCGATAATAAATATACATTGACACTAACTAGAATCACTACAGCATTTTCTTGTTACTTATTAGCTGTTCTGCTGTGATATATACGATTTCATTTTCTCCTCAATTTTAAGGTAACAGGTCAGTCATTTGTCGTCAAACTGCAATGACAACATAGACTTTGTTTGCTCACGAGATACGATTCAAATACGGAGCTTGACAATTGGCTTTAACGATGATGATCTACCGTTCATTTAGAAATAAGTTTTGCGATTTACTTTTTATTTTTTTCGACTGAATAAAGGTTTTCTCTACTCTTGAGTTACTAACATGTCCAGTACTTAGCGGGGTTTCTCGTCGGCGAAAATAGTACCATAAGCTGGGAGCAGGAATATTAAAATTTTAGTTAGGTCTAACCATATCTATCATCAAAACCATTTACCGGTTCTATAAAATTGTGTTGACTAGTTGGCTTATACTTTGATACAATTGCATTGCAAGCAAGAAAGAACATACTCGTATACGGTACGTATCTAATCGAAATTATGATACTGAATGCCTGACTAGTGATTCACAGAATGAGGTTTTGGTTAAGACACTAGAAATTTAGAAAATTGTGATACGTTGTTTAATAGATTTACCAGACCGTATATTATTATTTAAAAGTGATTTCATTTCTCTCCTTTTCTTGGTAAGATATTCCCCATACATTTTACAGTAATAATTCGATCAAAGTCTTGGCCATTAGACACAGATGTATGGTAGCATTTTGAAAACCAGTTTGCATTGTCCATAGGATTGTTAAATTGTAGCTTAAGCATAATATCGTTATAATCACTCTTACTAAAGCATTAGAAGTTACTATAGTAAAATTGAGCGTGTTAAGCAAATAATTATCGTTTGTACATTTTGTATATGATATGATACGAGTATACAGTATATGGAACCTAACTGCCATAGTAAAACAGCTAAAAGAAGCAGATATTAAATTCCCAAAATTAGTTACCAATAGTTTATTGATTAGTAATATTGTTATTGGTTATTTTTGAATATCAAAAAATAAATCGAAATTCACATCTTGATAATCAGAAATTTATGCTTTCGAAAAGGATTTGCTCAGTGATTAGTAATGTTGTGATATTGATCATGGAACATAACATTTGCAAGATTACTCTATGATACAATCAACAGCCATATTGAAATACTATAATTGCATTTCGCTTCCTAAATTGCCTTGCTGACTTTCACATCCAAAGGTGATTAGAGAGTTGTTACAATATCTTTCTCTCGTTAGCGATGCAATAAACATATAGCAATCCTAAACTAACATAATGGCTATAACATTGCCTAAGATTAGTTATTCCATAGCATATAGTTGTAGATATTGTATTGTTTATTAGGAATGGTATTCGAGCATCACTTTTAAAACGCTGGTTTTGAAAGGATTACAGCAGTGCTCTGTCTACCGTCATCACTATCTGGTATTGTCATGATGTATCAGTCGATATCAATTGTTATTTATTTATAGATGTGCTGAAGAATTTCAATTTCAAACTTTAATCATCCGACTTTGATCCACAGTCGTCTGTAAGCTGGCATCCATTGAGAAAATTCTAAACCAATCAATTTTTTACAGTAAACATCTCAACTGTTGCAATTGTGTATCGTGCAAACTATAATCACGAAATAACATTCGCTTGATAGATAGAAAACCGTTGATTATAACTTGAAAAATACTATAACAGCGAAAGAACTGCATCTGCTATGGATGATATTATGCATTATGCGCCTTGATTACTTCCAATACCGTAATGATAAATTGCTGAAGTCATCAAATTAAGGGAAATCTGGCCAGAGAATTAATATAAATAATATTATGATAGCAAGTTTAGAGTTGAATGAGTAATTTCACTACTTTTCCTAATATTTCTATCTTTTAGCGATAATAGCCCAACACGATTCCTAGTTTCTAGTAAGATATAATTAGAAATAGAATGGTATAATCTTAGCTTGAAATACGCGTAAGTGATATCATTTAAGAATCAAGATGTAGTCTGTAGAAGAATATAATACTAATCGCTAAAAGCTATAGTCAATACAGAATAAGTTATCCTTAAATTAGTAGATTGCAGAATTTCTCTTTATGTATACAGTAGCATAGGAGTTTAACAATCGTTGTTGCACACGTCAGTAGTACAACATTTAATTTAGGGTAGCTAGACTTTAAAACGGCTTATAGAGTAAGTATCATTCTTGCGTAAGCACTATTATGAAGATGCATCACTAAGTTGGGGCTAGACTTAAAAAAACTGCGCAAAAGTGTTATATACTTTTGTAAATATACATTACTGGGTTCCAGCTAGACTTAAAAACTGCTCATAAGTGCTAGGTAGGTACTAAATTAGATATACATCATTGAATTCCAGTAAGCTAGAATAAAGAATGAAATAAAGTAGTTGCACTTGAATTGTCGTCTATCTACAAGGCTTAGACGCTTCTATTCCCCTTGAACTAACCTACATGATAGATTGTTACAGACTTCTACTGGATTGGAAATTACAAAACTTTACAATGTTTTTTCTTCTTTTTGGCTGGTGCAACATCCTTATATAATACAATATTGATGGCTTCATCAAATACTTCTTTTAAACCTTTCTTGGATAATGCTGAACATTCGACATAATTCACTGCTCCTATTTTCTTAGCTAACTTTCGACCTTCTTCGAATGGAATTGGACGTTGATTGTTTTCTTGCATAAAGGCATTAGCTTCTTTATCTTCACGCAAATCTAGCTTGGTTCCAATTAATAAGATTGGAGCATCAGGGCAGTGATGTCTTAATTCTGGTGTCCATTTCTGTAAGACATTGTTAAAGGATGAAGGTGATACTACTGAAAAACATAATAAAAAGATATTCGTTTCTGGATATGATAGAGGTCTTAATCGATCATATCCTTCTTGTCCAGCAGTATCCCAAAGACCCAGATGGATTGGCATCTTTTCTACCAATACATCAACGGTATAGTTATCAAAAACGGTAGGAATATATTCGCCAGGAAATGAATTAGTTGTATAAGTGATTAACATGGCCGTCTTTCCTACGCCACCATCACCAACCACCACACTCTTGATTGATTTAAGCATGATGGCCCAGTTATTTTATTCCTTTACAACAAAGAAAGAAATTACGTTACTCAAGAATAACTTAATTACTATACAAATAAAGGTCTATTTTTTTATACCCAAGTTAATATGTTCTAAAAAATAAAATTAGTTGCTTTCAAGTTGTCACTAAAGTATTGATCACTTGTTGAACTTGATTAACCTATCAAGTCTGATACAGAATAAAGCTTTAACGTTGCACTTCCAATTATATATAATTCATCAATCGTCAATTTAACACTTAGGTGCTATGCAAAGGAATCGTATAACTTCTAAATATGACTATAGCTAGTCCTCACTCGTCATCAGAATATGAAAGACAGGACGAAAGGTTCAAGACTGTCATTTACTTTTCGACTCAAGTTATGAGAATGAAGTCATATATTCAGAATACATATTTGGAAATTAAAATGGACTTGATCCAGCAAGATAAAGGGGTTTTAACGCAAGTATGTAGTAATAGAATAAAGGTCAATGCCATCTCGCGATTTGGTGAGGACGTCAAATAGAGCATTAAATAATGTAACTTTGATATCAAAGCCATTCAAAAAATGAGCTGTGGCACCCACTGACGCCATCATTTATTGAAGCGATACGATTAAAATGGAGTTAAAAATCGAGGTATAAAAACAATTACATCTAGTGTGAAGAGCATCTTGTAGATATTTGCTTGGAAATCAATGAACAGATAGCTATCAATTTTCGTCTTACTGTAGAAACAGTCTTTTAGTCATGGCAGTAACCATGGACATCGATATTCAATAGTGATTGTTGCTAAATATGGCACTGGCTGATGACATTGAAATCGAACTAATGAGCATTAAGTTTCGATAATCATCACATTGAACGTGAAGAGCACACCGGATTACATAGATTTTAATAAGAGATCATGAGGTTAGTAGCTGATAGCATTGATTTTGTGATAAACTTTATTTTAAAATAGCAATTATTTTAGTATAGCTGCGATACTGACTGATATTATTCTTCATTAAGTTAGTTGCATTAAAATACCACTAAAATGCCTCGAGTTTCGATAATCAACGCATTGAACGTGAAGAGTATACTGTATTACAGAGATTTCACTTAGAGATGAAGTAGCTAATAGCTGGCAGCATTGACTTTAGTGTTAAAAAGGTAGAAAAAAATTATTTTCTGTCATGCCAGCAACCATGGTTATCGAGCCTAATCTCAACTTTAAAACGCTAAATAGCGATTAAGTATAACTGCAGCACTGACTGATGGCATTCATCATTAAATCTATTATATTGAAATGTTACAACTAAAACATAGTCACATCCAATATGAAGAGTTGAGCGAAATCTCTGCTCACTTTGAGATCAAGTTCGGTAGCTAATAGCTGTAACAATACGTTTTTTGTTATGGTAGAAAGAATTTTTTAGTCGTTATATCAACTATGGACATCAATCCTAATCCTAACTGGAAACGTTAAATGATGATTAAGTATGGCTACGGTACCGACTGAAAGCATCACTCATTGAATCAATCAGATTAAATGTTAAAACTATAACAGAATCGAATTTTAGTAATTATCGCATCTAACATGAAAAGTATCTTGTAGAGATCAATAAATAAGTAGTAGCTTTTGGATAGCATAGGGTTTTATCTTAGGGTAGAATGAATTTTTCAGCCATTAAAAGCAATTACAGGCATCTTTCTTGCAATCTGGGTTACTTCTATAATGTCTGAACAATATTTTAATAATAATAATTATAATATTATTGAACTGATAGGCTAAATACAAACTTTTCAATTTTGCTAAATAAGTCGATATTGCGAGTTTCGATAATAATCGCAGGACATCATATTAGACATTTCAGTAGGAGATCAACGAACAAATAAATATAGGGGTAAAATTAAATTTCATTTGAGGTAGAAAGAATTTGATTCAGTAGTTAGTAGTAACTACAGATATTGTTATCATCCACTGGATTATCATGGCTGAGTAAATTTTCAAGAAAGTTAATTGTTATTGAATCAACGACTAAAAATAGATTTTTTAACTTCATTTATTGAGCTGATAAATGAAATGTCTAGTCTGCAGGTCTTATCGGCATAATCGAGAATGTGGTATGAATATAGTCTGTCGACTGATTAATTCCTTGTACTTCATTTGAAGATCATTATCCTTTATTAAATGGATAGCAGAACTTTAAATTTGTCCACTGCTTAGAGCTATTTTAAGAGCTATTAGCTATTGGAAGTAAACAGAATAGTTAACTATTTTATACCTGTTTGCACTAACATGCTAATCCAATTTTCAATTTCTATACTTTCGTTACATTACTCCATTGAGCTGTATACTCCGTATCCTTTGAATAATTATTCACTACAATTAAATTATCATATTTACTTGCTAATAACTGTCAGGGTAAATTTAATGTCTGAAAGGACGACTTAAATCAAGAAATGGTACTGATTTATTTCTCTGCGTAATAGATTATATACCTTTGATAAGTATCTCAAACAGCGATAGAATATATTTTGGCCTCCACGAATTTATAAACCACAAGTAATTCAATAACTAATTATCTTCATGTGGAATAAATTGTTAGCCTATCAAGTATTATCAACTTAGCTTAATAAGAGAACATATACGGAAAACTTCTATAGCCCACTCTGTTATTAGGTGGGCGTTTAAATTAAATGAAAGGGTGTCCTTGAATCATTAAAAACAGTTTTTCAGCCATTCAAATCTGGAGAGTAATTTGAAGATATGTACTGTAAATAAATGTTCAATCAATGATCTTACTTATATCGTCATTCATCTTCATCATGATATACACTATCTATTAAGATTAATTTTCCGTACAGATTTCTACTCAATCCTATGCTGATGCAAGCTATCAACCTACATAATTAGCTATTTCTTAAAAAGTCGTTGTGTTATAGATCGATATCATAAAAAAGCCCATTAAAAGAAGAATATTGATATTAGTTTGTATAACGAATCTCTTTATGCATGCATAAAAGTTCATTCTATATAATATGCTTCCGTATTTTTACTAACAGAGTCCATAGAAAAAAGGGAGAACGATTGCTGTAGAATATAGAGTGATCCGATTTTGAAGTTGGAGTAGCGAACATACATTAACGTTAGTTTTATGACCAAACTTGAAAATGAATGTATAGAAATTTATTCTACAGATGATACTGTACAAGCTGATGCCTTTTTTTTAAACTATGGCAGTAAGGAGAAAAAGCAATCCTAGTGTATGACGATTTTACTTTGACGACAAGTTCGACCAAAGAATAATAGCAAATGGTAATCACATTGGTTCGAATAACTTTTTTTATAGAGGGCACATGTGTTTCAATTATTGTAGCAGATAATTAAAGCAAATAAATGAAGGATGAAAATGATATTTCGAATTTTATGTTAATTTAGTTTGAATCCTTTTGAATTGAACATGTGGAATTACAGCTATCGCTAAAGCTGTAACATTGCTTGGACTATCTTAATAAAAATGGCTTGGTCATGAAGATGTTACGCCTTAAGTTACTGCTACTCCAATCTTTCTTCGGTACCGTAGGCAATGAAACTGATACCAGGGGTTAAACTATCTGATGTAGATTGCGATAATAAAGTAAATTAAATGAAGATTCTAGCAATAGTCATGAAGAAATTACACAAGTTTAATCGGTTTAAGGGCTTAAAAATTAGAAAGGAAAAGATTTATTGTCAGCTACTTTCAGGATGATATTATTTTGTAATTCCCGATTTATTGCGATATCCTGTACACTAACTCAATGCTCACTCCGCAGTAATATTTTTAGAATAAGACTTCTGCTCAAACAGATGAGCCATAATGTGGTGACCAGTGGCTGAGGAGGTAAAGGTAAAGAGCCACTAGTTATACTTACTACGTTCGGTAGTAAATCAAAAATGGGATACTAAAACTGAAATAACGGTAAAACAGTTTAGAAGGGAGCGGTGTAGTAAATGTGATAGAAAGTAGAATAGCGCGATGGAGAAGAAAAATCGTAAGAAACGCCTATAACGATTGGACATAGCACTATTTGTGAGATTGCCTCCAATGCTACCATCATGGCAGAAAAGCATCGAAGCATTGAATTGCAAACACGGCGCCGACCTAGACACTAGTGCAACAGTAGAGCATGTAATCCAGCCATTGTTTCACTAAAATGAAGCCCTGAGGAAATTTATCGACTCTTTTCCAGCGTGAAGCAGACATTCTGATAAAAAAGAATTTTTTTTAAAGTTATCTAGACTTAGAACTGCAAAGGTAGTAGAATATCTCACCCATCAGTCTCTTATTAGGATAACTATCAGTAAGGCATAAAATACCAGTAGCTGTCTTATCCCGATCATGTCGATCTAGAGCTCTCATAGCCTATAAAAAGCTTTCGTTTAACAGGCTTCTTGTTTCTTACTGAAAGTAACCCCCTTTTTAACCATAATAAAAAGCAATCAAAATGTCATAAAGATATGTAGAACAGAAACAAGATTTAATATGCTTAATAGCCGTCGTTTTATAGACTTTAAATAAAGCCATTTATGGTCAACATTCTAAAGTAAGTTTGCTAAACGCTTCTAATTAATCATTATTTTGAAGGAAAAAGCTACATGATGGCTAGGACGTGATTTCGCCTGTTGGCAGTTATTTTTTCCATAGAAGGAGAAGTTTTTGGTATAAATATGACTTGAAAAAATCGAGATCATCGAACAAGATTAAACTGCAGTTAATTTCATTCTTATTTTAAAAGAAAGTCTATCTCGTTTGTACTCATCAAGATCGAAATAAACCAACATGTAGTTTAGTTATGTAGTAGGGAAAATCCTGACGAAAGTCATTTGGATCGATTCTGTATTTAAATGTGTGATTTGATGGTGCTCTATTTATTTCATACTAAATATCTTTACCTGATAATCTTCGATTGAAATTGGTGATATTTCCGTCTAGTGATGCGTCAACCAACTGCTTCTCTACTTGTTGACTATG